TAGATAGATAGATGATAGATAGATAGATAGATAGATAGATAGATAGATAGATAGATAGATAGATAGATAGATAGATAGATAGAATGTTGATTGATTGATTGATTGATTGATTGATTGTGGTAAATTTGTATACATTTGCCCAGGGTGTCCTGGAACTGGCAATTAGCCTCTTGTCTCAGGGATTTTGCTCAGGCTGGGAGTCTTGCTTTTCGGATCAGTTCTTTTATTCCTTAGGTAGAAATTTTAGTCTCAATCAACATTCAAAATGTCTGTAGTAAAATTTGTTTTTAAAATGAATTAAATGGATTCCAACAAGTAAAGTGAAATAAGACAAAAAAAATTCTTGCAATGTTTTCAACTTTTTAGAAGTTAAACCAGAAGCAAATAAAGTGAGTTATTTTGGTCTTTTCTGAATGCTGGCTTGAAGAACAGGCTCTCTTGGATGGTTCTGATTTAGTACATCTGGGATAGAATCCAAAAAGCTTCAGTTTTCAAAAGCACAGCCAGACTTGGGAGCCATTTAGTTGCATAACTCTCGCTGTGTTTATAAGAATCACACTATTTGTCCAAAAGAGAAATCACATTTAGAGAACACACAAGCAGTACCATCGTCCTGAAGTCTGATGAGCAGTATTTTTGGTGGAAGAACCTATCCACAGTTCCTGGATTGGTATTGGTATACTCTTGGAGGCCAGAGTCAGGGTCTGACTCCTGTTTCTCTCCATAGCACTCTGTACCATGTCTTAACATGGTAAAGCACCTGTAAGTGTTTACTGAATGAACATTTTAAAATAACTATGGACTCATCTCAGAATGAAGACTGCATTTAGAAGTATATTCATTCTGAAGTATATTTCACTAACTTGTCAAAGATACAGGTCCTTCTTGGGCCAAATTCGTATTTTTTCTGACTGAGCACATTAGCCTATCCAGTATTTTAGTAGGAGCACAATTCACTCACCGTTTTTTCAGCAAATGTTTCCTATGTGTACAGACACTACTCTAGACATGGAGTGAGCAAAGCATATAAGTGTCCATTCATGGAGCTTCCCTTCCAGATGGAAGGACCAGGAATTACCTGATCTGCATATAGGGATACAGGGTATCAGTGGTGCAAAATGTTATGAGCACCAAGCCAAGGAAAAGAGAAAGGAACATCAGACCTACAAAGGTTCTGCTGTTCTGCATTGGCTGCCTAGGGAGACTTATTTATGTTAGAAGGTAACATTTGAACAGAAACCTAACTGATAGGAAGGAGCAAGCCATGAGTGAATGTGAGAACAGAGTATTCCAGGCTTGGGATCCACAGAGTAGGGACATGCCTGGCCAAGAGCCGAGAAATGAGCCAGTGTGCAGGGCCAAGGTGGGCATTGTGCAAGGCTGAACACCCAGAGGTGGGCCAGTTCATGCCTGTTCCTGAAGGCCAAAGGAGAAAACTTAATGTTCTTTCATTGACTTAGGAATTCCTCAGAGGTTTTAGACGGAGAAGGAGCAGATGCTGATTAAGGCCTTTTGTTGCTGTCTTGAATATAAATTATAAAAGAACAAATATAAAAATATGGAGACCATTTCAGTAGTCCTGAGAAGGAATGAACACAAGTCCAGGCAAAAATGTTCCCTCAACATTAAGTTGGTTTTATAAATTCTACTTACTGTGTTTTGGAGATTGTTTGCTTTTCAGTTGGTCTTTTACTCATGTAGCCTAAATTGCTACAGTAGCAATAGAAATTATTTCCTAAACTTAATAATAAAACATACCATTCTTTGTTGCTTGGTTAATTGCCAAGTGATAACAATACCTTATAGTATTGACTATTTAAAAGGGAGTTTTTTATCCACTGTTTTGACTAAATCCTCATAGTTTTTCAGGACTGATAGACACATTAAGTATTACCTCCCTGCAGATATAGAAACTGAAATGTTACAAGCCACGTTCATAGTCACATGAGAAGTTTAGGGCAGGATCAAAAAGACTGAAATGCAAATCTTCTCCTCATCTGAACCCATTTACTTTGTGTAAAAGATTACTTTGTGTAATCTGTTATGTTCAGATTATGCCTTAAGTTGTTACTTAAGGGGCATTTACATTAATAAGTTTAACGTATTATTTTAAAAACCATCAACCAGCTGGGCATGGTGGGGCATGCCTTAATCCCAGTACCTGGGAAGCAGAGGCAGGCAGATCTCTGTAAGATCAAAGCCAGCTTGGTTTACATAGGGAATTCCAGGCCAGCTGGGGCTACAGAGTGACCCTGTCTCAAAAAAAAAAAAAAACAAAAGCCAACAAGTGAACAAGATCCTGTGCTTAGAAGGAATTCATATGAAGGTCTGGAAAGCATGTCCCCACCCTGTCATTTATTCCTTTCAGGGAACGACACCTATAGCAGCAAATACCTAGTAAGGTGTGACACGCTCAGGTTCAATGAAGTTGGTCAGCTGGTGCTATAGCGATTCAAAGGACATCATAACTGATGGCCTGAGAAATTGGGGTAGCAGGGAGGCAGGTACCTTGGAAGGATGGGCAGAAGTCAATCAGAAAAGAGACTGGGAAGGACAGAAACCAAGACTTTGAATTTTGAGGCAGCGACTAAAGCAGCCAGTTGGAGTACAGAGGTTGGACTGGCGATGAGGAACCCAGGCACAAATGTCACTATAAGAGCATGTTGTTGGGAGAGCTGAAGAATTCAGTCAAGCTCTTGGCTGCACCTTTCCTTTGTATCTGACTGGTTAGTGATTTAGCCCAGGGGTAGTGTACTTTCTTTAGTATGGACAAGGTCCAGGGTTTGATTCCTAGCACCCTGTAAAAATATATGATCTAGTAATGTCATGTTGTTTTTCTCTCTATCAGTCCACTTAAGTCAGATGTGTCTGATTGAAGCTAAATATTTGCTGGGTTTAGCATGGCTGTTGACTTCCTTGTAGCCCTTTTAGGAGCGCAAAATGTTTGTTCATGAACTGTCTCTGTCTTTTCTGTTAGCCAAACAGTAGTTTAAGGCAAAATATATTACAGAGTAGATTGTCCAAATGAAAAATATTCCAATATAATAAGAATTAGATTTGCAAAATAAGAACAGACTAAGTAGAATCTAAGATGTGCTTTAGTTTGGCGAAGGATCACTGGAGGGGCTCCGGCTAGCTGTGACATGTTATACTAATTGCTGAGGCACACTTGAACGTACAGCTCAGAGCCAAGCATGGTGTTGTTCACCTATAATCCAAGCACTTGGAAGGCTAAGGCAGGAGGATCACAAGTTAGAGAGACCAGCCTAGGCTTAGCAAGACTCTGTCTCAAACACACGCACCTACCTCACAACTCTATTCTTGGGGGTAAGAGCATGTCAAGGAATATATTTAACCCATCCTTGGGGAGAAAAATGATGCAGTAAGAATGGCATGTTCAAGGTTTAAGATAGTGGTGGTGCCAGACATGGTGGAGCATGCCTTTAATCCCATCATCTGAAGGCACAGGCAGGTAGATCTCTGTGAGATTGAAGCCAGCCTAGTCTACATACTGAGTTCAGGCTAGCTAGGGCTACAGGGAGATCCTGTCTCAGAAAAAAAAAAAAAAAAAAAAAAAAAAAAAAAGTCCATCAGTGGCGGGAGTTTAAGAATTATGTGGCAATCAGAAAGGGGAAAAAAAAGGAAATTGAAAGACCAATTGGCAAGGGCTTGTGCCTACCTGAGAATAGCAACTTAAATTCAAAGAGAGGCTCTCCCTGCCTAGATTCTTCATTGTTACTTAGAGGGTGGACCACAGGTGTAATTCATAATTACCCCCTTCTTACCAGAACAGACTCATGCACACGACACACTATCCCATGTACTCGTGATTTCCATCTGTTCATGCTTCCCCCATTCAGCAAATTCTGAGTTCTCAGTCAGTCTGCCAAGGGCTGGGAATACAGCAGTCAACAGAAGAGAGAAAGTTCCTTAGTATCGGACAGTGCTAAATAAGCTAGTATGGAAGAAAGCCCCTCTTCACTGCCCCTTACATCCTGCATAGGATTTAGTAGCTGTTGGTTACAGAGTCTGAACTTGAAAATTGAATTAACTATCTACTCTTGGCAAGATAGTTTGTTGAGAGGCCCTACTGCAGGGTAGCAGATTGAAGGAGAGTAATTCATTTGCAGAACTAATTTTTAAATATTCTTCAAAACCGAGTCTCTTACCTTTGATTAAGATTATATGCTGTATTGATTATAACCAGTTGCCTGTGCTGAACCACATTTGCCATTAAAGATGAAGTGTTAAAGTGGGTGCCATTTGTCTTGCTTGGATGGTTTTCGTGGCCTCCCTGAATTCCAGAAAATGCTCATGGTTGTGGCTGACAATGCTTTACAGGTACCCTTTGTGTCTTCATTTGCCGACTGACTGCCTTTGCAAAAGCTGCGTCAGTTCTTTTGTTAACTGTAACAGCAGTCAAAAATGATGTAGGGTAGGAAGGATAAATGACAGAAAGACTGACACATGCATGCATGTGCGTACACGCATATTTTAGATCAATTTCTGCACATTGTCTGAAGTAGCATTTGTCACCCAAAACATGGGAAATAGCAGTTGTGAGTCATTTTCTCGTCATTTTCTTCAGATGGGACCTGTTACCAGGGACATAGGAGGATTTGGGTTTTCCCCATTGGCTTCCCTTTGATCTCATTACTTCTTAGATGGAGCCATATCTTGCTGAGTACACATAGAGTACACAATGTTTGTACATGCTCTTTGTAAGAAGGTTTGTTTTTTTTGTTTTGTTTTGTTTTTATTTTTCTTATCTGTCTGTTTAGGGTTAGGGTGGTATATGGAAGGCAAGGTTTGATTGGCCTTTTGTTTGAATAGGACTTGACATTCTGTTTGTAGATAAAAAGCTCCGTATTAAATTTGTGATGTTTGTGGTGAACACATGATACCATTTCTGCAGCATGGTGTGGTGCTTATGTGTGCTTTTTAAAAATAAGCCCTGTAGAGATGGACTTGGTCACCAGGCTTTTCTGTTCCCATTGCAGATGTGAAGCCCTCCAACATGCTTGTAAACACACGCGGACAGGTCAAGCTGTGTGACTTCGGCGTGAGCACACAGGTAGGTCTCTTTTATGTTCAGCCTACCCTCTGGATTAAAAAAAAATCACCTAGCAGACAGACAGGAACTCTGCATCTTTGCCTCAGCTGGGAGTGTGCTATTCATTTTTAATCTCCAAGCGGGTTTCCTTCATCAGAATATGATTGTTCATTGTTTAATGACAGTAAAAACTGCTGATATTGTAATTACTACTTACGAATAGCAAACTTCATTGATATGCAGCTTTGATATGAAAGCGTTTTGGCCAGACAAAAGGAAGGGCAGCACTGAAGCTGTGCCTGGGGAGCCCAACTGGCCCACAATAAAAATTAATATTGGGAGCAACAATGGCGGAGGGCCATTACAATGTGCAGCACCAATTTTAATTAATTTCCATTTTGGGCCTCCCCTGAGAACCCCAGTGATGGTGACCCATGCACGTGCTGTGATGTTGATTTGAATTGCAGGCACCTTTACTCCCAGCCAAACACGAAGACCGAAGCGAAGGTCATCACTGTATTATGGGTTGTCAAAGTCCGTTATCCCTCCAGCGTATTTAGTGTTCGCTTCATTCTGGGAATGTGTGGGGCTCCATTCACATCTTGAGCCATCTGACTAAAAAATGAAGAGTGTTCAAATTCTACTTCAAATTGACTTTTTATATCAGGCGGGTTTGGGGTACTAAAGCGATAAGCATCCTGCTTAAGTGAATTGTTTAAGGTTATCTGCTATAAACCATAATGCAGTGCTTGTTTAAATTGGAAATCGCATCCAAAAGAAAAGAGAGCTTTAATCATTTTTAATGCCTTTGTAGATGAATTTGTTCCCTTTTACATAATTTTTAGTTGATTTATGGGAATGATGATTGTAGGTTAAATGAGGAATAATTGCCCATTTTATTTCCACATTATCTTTATATTGTTCTAACAGACTGTTTTGTCTCATAGCTGGTGAGTTCTATAGCCAAGACGTATGTTGGAACAAATGCTTATATGGCAGTAAGTAAACTTATGCAAAAATAACATTTAAAACCAGCATCTTTATCTTTATGTACTTGGTAATGTAAAATTCTAGAATTCATTCTGCAGCTTTAGCCTTGCAGATCATAAATTACAGAGACAATCCAATCACAACCAAGTTTCAAATCTTTTGAGAAAACTGGAGGGCTTATGCTGGAGCTATCAACTTATCTGACTTTGTTGACTTAACTGGTTGGTTCAAGTGTGAAATCGCTGAGTTCTGAAGTTTAATCCTACAGAAAAATTGAACCTGGTAGCATGGTGGCTACTTTTCCATATTGCTTATTTAATTAATCCAAATATAATGTATACCAAGATACCAGTCAAGAACGTTAGTTGTTCCAGGAATCATGCCTTGTCACCAAATCAACGTTAAATTACTGAGGTAGCCAACCCTTATTTATGAATCTCTAAATGTAAAGGTCCAACTGTTAGTTTTCTTTACAACTTACAAATCTGTATTTTTTTTTTTAAGTTGTTAGATTCTTCCAGATATTGTAAAATAGCTTGTTTGTTTCTTTTTTTCTTCCTTTTTTATTTATTTATTTATTTATTTATTTTTGGTCCTTTTGAGACAGGGTCTCCCTGTAGCCCCAGCTGTCCTGGAACTCACTATGTAGACCAGGCTGGCCTTGAACTCACAGAAATCCTCCTGCCTCTGCCTCCTGAGTGCTGGGATTAAAGGCGTGCGCCATCATGCCCAGCATTTCTTACTTTTTTGAATAATATAATTTCTTTGTGGCCATAAAAATGATTTCGTTTATTGGTCTTTCCAGTACCTTCAACAGTGAGGGGAGAATGGAGCAAGCAGGGAATTTTTCCAACATCATTTTCAGAACCTGGTTTTCATTTCACAATTTTGCATTGATTTTTACAAGAGCTCTAGATTTATGTAAGTAATCCTTTTCAGGTTTAATAGCCTTTGTTGATATCAAAAACTTAAAATATTTCAGTATGAGTACAACAGTGAATCTTTTTAAATTTTTAAAAATTTATTGGGGGGGCAGTCACATGTGTGGCTGTCAAAGGACAACTTGCAGGAGTCTGTTCTCTCCTTTCACTGTGTGGGTCCTGAGGATCAAGCTCAGGTTGTCAGACTTGGAGGCACGTGACTTTGCCTGCTGAACCATCTGACCAACCAAGAACCATGGACCTTATTCTCAGTATTTTTTGTCCATATACTGTCTTCATTAAAAGAATTTTAATATGGAGGCTGGGCATAGTGGCACACGCCTTTAATCCCAGCACTTGGGAGGCAGAGTTTGAGGCCAGCCTGGTCTACATAGTGAGTTCCAGGACAGCTGGGGCTACGGGGAGACCTTTTTATTCTCAGAACAATACAAAGTATTTTGTTTTCTTTCACATGATAAAAATAGTTAATTTTGTTTCACTGTTTTTAAAGAAATTCATACTTTTGCATTATTTCTAATTAAATATGGGGAAAGATGACTTAATTATTGAAGTTACTGTATTTGGTTTTTAAAATCCACTCTCTTCCATGGCTCTCCCAGGTTGGATGAGATGGATGAGTCACTTTTACAGCTAACAAAGCCCTGATGAATGTAGCCTTTGAAATAATGTGAAAACACCATAATTTGGAAAAAAAGAAAAAAACAATAAATGAAACAACTTCTCCACTGCTCATCATGTTTGTAGTAGCTTTAAATTGCTCTAACAAACTGTGTTATATCTTACCGTACAAATCCAGATTACAGTTGTCTTTCCCAGGTGTACATTAAAGAAATTACTTTTTTTCTCTTCTTGTTTATGGATGAATGTGATGCGTCCATATGTTAATTGAAAGTGTGAGGATTAAAATTATGAAACGTTAGCTCAGACTGGCAAAGCTGAAATTGCTTTGTTTCTTGGGTGAGTGAATTCCAGTCGTCAACTTTGTAGTTCAAACTATAAAAAGCCTCAGATGCCAAGGCAGAAAGCAGTGACAGTCTGATGGTATGAAGAAAAGCTCTGTTTAATTTAGTAGACTCTTACTGGCCAAGAACTAACTTACCAAAGCCTGGGATGTGGGAACATGGAAGGAGCTCTCTGTTGCTCTAGTACCACATTAACTAACCCTACCGCCGTCTGCTAATATTCTCTTGGGGGAGAAGGGCTGGATTCTTTGGCTTTAAAAGTTAGCCACATCTAGGACCTGCGTTAGCTCATTTAATAATTTTGAGTTCCACTTGGGTTTCTATGCCAAAATGTTAGCAAACTATAGCTCTCAGGCCAGGTTTTGTGAGTAAAATTTTATTGGAATGTGGCCACAGCCATTAGTTCATGGGTTTAGGTTTGACTGCAGTTGCACCAGAGTGGCAGAGCTGGGTAGTTGAGCAGTTGCAACTAAGAACATAAAGCCCACAAAATGAAAAGTATTTACTGTCTGGCCCTTTACGGAAAAAGGTTTCCGCCACTGGTGTATGTCAAGGAAGCTATATTTGAAACCAAGTACCTTCAGTCCATTAGCCGATGTTCACTGAGCCCCTTGCATGCTGTCAGTCAAGCATGGTAGAACCACTCTAACCCACAAATGTTGCAGATGAAACTGGAAACCCATCCCCATAAATGGCACTATTGAACATGACATAATCAAGTCTTAAGTTGTATCAAACATATACTTAAAAAATGAGAACACATACAGTATATGGACTTAATGATTCAAATAGATGTAAAGAAGGCACTTTAAAAAGAAAAAGATCTTATTTCACCCTACCCCTGTCAGAATGGCTAAGATCAAGACAACAAATGATACCAAATGCTGGTGAGGATGTGGAGAAGGGAACACTCATTCACTGTTGGTGGGATTGCAAATTCATGCAACCCCTATGGAAAGCAGTGTGAAGAACTCTTTAAAAAAAAAAAAATGAACCTACCATATGACCCTGTTATACCACTGTTTGGCATATACCCAAAGGACTCATCCTATTGTAGAGACACTTGTACGTCCATGTTTGTTGCTGCTCTTTTCACAATAATTAAGAGATGGAAGCAACCTAAGTGTCCCTCAGCTGAGGAGTGATTAATGAAAATGTGGTACATTTACACAATGGAATTCTACTCAGCAGTAAAGAAAGATGAAATAATGAAATTTGCAGACAAATGGATGGATCTAGAACTGTGATACTAAGTGAAGTAGCACAAACTCAGAAAAACAAAAGACATGTGTTCTCCCTCATTTGTGGATCCTAGCACCAAATCCTTATACAAATATCCCAGTCACCACCCATCAAAGTAGCTGCTTTTTCAACAGACAAGAGATTATTACAGAGTTACCCCACTGGTCACATACACAGATTCTCTGTGAATTGTCCAAGCCTAAGTGGCACATCTAGGGTGCAACCTCTATACCCAAGACTCATGGAACATAGAACAAGGGATGAAGAGAACACTAATGCATCTTTCAGTTCTCATCAACGAAGCTCCCTCATGCAATAGAGGGTCAGGAACACAAAAGGCCACAAATGGCCAAAACTCAGAGAATAAGAGTCAGCAGAGTATGGGTCCTTGGACAGGATTCCTATATTGAGGTCCACCCCCCCCCCAGACCTCAGGGACCATTGTGGAAGAGGGGGTGGAAAGATTGTAAGAGCCATGGAGAAGGTACATGATCATCTGGAAATAGCCCTACAGGACTCTTCTCATACAAACCTACAGCAATGGTGTCAGCATGCACAAGACCCATGCAAACTTTAGGCAGACAGAAACCCAGCACAGAACTGTGGAAATGAATAGCAAGCCCCAATCTTAATCAAAGAATTATTGGAAGCTGATCACTGCTGGGTAAGGAAGAGCTAATCATTCGAAGGGAGAAACTCTAGATAGGCTGACCCTGGTGGATGAACTTGCACTGAGGGACATCTGGGGACACTAACTTTACATACTAGACCTTAATATGAATGACAGAATGTATGAACTCGGTGGGGGGGGAGGGCAATGGGAGGGCGCCAAAGGGGAAGGGGAAAGGGTATAAAGATGATTTTATGTATGAATTATACAAAAATTCAATAAAAAATTAAATTATAACCTTTGGAGAGAGAGAGAGAGAGAGAGAGAGAGAAAGATCTTAAATGCTAGTAAGGAAAATGAATAATTACTGTAGATGGGTAAAGACTCAGAAATGGAAAGCTGGAGCTGGAGAGGTGGCTCACAGGATCAGAACACTTGTTGCACAGGCATGATGACCAGAGTTTGAATACACACACGCATGCACGCATGCACATGCGCATGCACACATACAAATAATCAGGTATAAAAGTTTGACATCATGATTTTGAATGACTGATGTCTTGAAATTTTCAGGATGTTTCTCACATATTATTCTTTGGGATCAGAAAGAGTCTAAATGCCTCTCCTTCGCTCCCAAATGGCTGCTTTGGGGGGTGTTTGGTTTACAAGCCCAGGCTATGTCCATTCTCACTAATGCCTTTACCTGGAATTGTGTCTACTCAGATTGCATGCTCCAGCTCATTTGGCCAAACTGGTGCCGTGATCCTGATGGTAGGTGATGACTGGAGGATGCTAGTATTTGCTGAGTGTGCCTGTGCAACACTTCTCAGTCAAGTACAATACCTGGATGCATTTCATCCTCATACAACCCATGATGCATACACATTGTATTATCAGCTTTGTTTTACAGAGAGGACCAAAAATGAAATAACTGTAGCCCAAGTTCTCAGCGTCGGCATGCAGTGAAAGGCAAGATTTCATCAGGACACCAGCCATTTGTTTATGTGAATAGCAGGTTACGTTATTTGGATCAACTCTTCTGTTGAAAAAAAAAAATACTAGTTAAAAATGCCTCAAACCAGGGCTGGAGAGGTGACTCAGTGGTTAAGAGCACTGACTGCTCTTGCAGAGGACCCAGGTTCAATTCCCAGCACCCACATGGCGGCTATGAACCGTCCTTAACTCCAGTTCCAGAGAAATTCATCGCCCTCTTCTGACCTCCATGGCATTGTACAACACAGGTGCACTCACATACATGCAGGCAGTACACTCATATATATAAAATAAAAATAATAAAATAATTTTTAAAGTGTGTCAAATCATCAGAAAAGCACTAAAGAGCTAAAGAGATAATAGGGAACTCCCAGGATGGTTTTGGGTGAAATCCCACCACAGAGAAGATCTGCAGCCGACTGGAGCTACATTTTCTTGAAAGCAGTTGCTGATATCATACTCAGACAGAGAGGTTGTGGTCATGCCCTGAGGCCTCCTGGGCAGAACGCTTCTCAGAAGATCCTCACTATTTCGTACAGAAAACCCAAAGAGGTCCCCTCAGAGGATAGGCAGACTAGATCCGAAGCTTTCCTCCTTCCCATCCCAGGAATTAAAAGGGTCTCCTCAGAGCGAAGCAGAGATGTAGGAGGGAAAGGAGGAGTGGAATAGGCTGGGACCAGCCCAGGCCTTGCACAGCTTCACACCTGGCCATTTATGAACTGATTCGACTCAGGGTTTCTTGCTGAGAACTTGCTCTGGAATGGCCTGTCCACCTTAGGCCTCAAAATCCTCTCCAGTTTTCTTGATGTTTAGGTTGTGATGCCTAAGCCACCTCTCCAGTCCCAGTTTTCAAGAGGAAAAAACTACGATGCAGTCAAAGAAAACCAGGTAGATACAGCAACATGAGGATGGTCTGGCAGCACAACACAAGCACACAGGCTTAGGAGTATACATTTTAAAAGTGGTACAGTAGATTCAAAAATCCCAAAACAAAACTAAAATTTTAAACTCATGGGATTGGAGAGGTGGCTCAGCAGTTAAGAGCGCTTGCTTCTCTTGCAGAGGCCCTGGGTTCAATTCTCAGTGCCTGCATCAGGTGACTCACAACCACCTGTAACTTCAGTTCCAGGCCCTCTTCTGGCCTTCTTGACCACCTGCATGTGTGTGGTACAAATACATATACACAGGCACACAGACATAAGCATAAAATAAAAATAAATCTTTAAAAAAATAAACCTCACTGTACGCTATTTGGGAGGATGTTGGGCATAACAGAAGAGAGAATTAGTGACCTGGGGGATCAGTCTGTTAGGGCTGTCTGACTCTCTTTAACTATTGTGTTGTGTTGCCTATACAGGGATCTTGCCGTGTCTACCTAAAAGAAAATTCTCTCACTATGATGCATATGTTGATAACACGCTAGCCTGAAGTATTGGCACCTGCTTTGTTAATTTTCTGAGCAGCCTGACTGAACAGAAACTCCTTTTTCAGAAAAGATAAAATATGTACCTTGATAGCTTCCTGCTTCTGACAGTTAAACCCTGGAGTATTGTGTTGTAAACAGACAGTTTTGGAATTAGTTAACTAAATATGGGTGCTGGCTAAATGCCCAGTCACAGGCAGTAGCTGGAGGGGGTGGTGTGTGCCAGCTTGAAGAGACTGCCTTGAAGATTCTCAGTGGATTCAGATTTTCAGATATCACCATGCCTTACTGCTCAGAACAGGACAGTTTTTGTTTTGTTCGTTTTTATTTGCTCCTCCCTTCACCCAGTACAGAGATGCTTCAGGCAAGAGTCATGATTTTCTTATTATTTAGCTTTCCACACCGTTGACAGCTGTTGTGTGAGAAAGTAACCCCAACCATAGCCTTTTGACTGCAAAATATCTATCAGAGATCTTCTGTCTGCAATATGGTTAGTGATTGGTCTTGTTTTGTTTCATTTTATTTTTGAGGGACGAGGACAGGGCAGGCTGTATTGGCTTCAGGTGTGCGACTAGCTTTGAACTATGCAGCCTCAGGCCATCATATCTTAACTCCATAAATTTATGAGGTATAGAGGCTCTTCTTGTGTCTAAGCCAGTTGCAGGGGCCTAGGCACCTTCCTAGGGCCCTGTCTACCTTGTGCATTGTAGGGTAGGCCCCAGGAGCTTGCTGCCTGGTTTTGCTGGGCATTGTATCACATCAGTGATCTTGTTTCCTTAGCTCATTGCAAAAATGCTTTATGGAGAGGTTGTCAGAATCTTGTGTTTAAGGAGTTCTCTTATTTGCCACCTGATGTTTGTAAACATTTTCACTTTCTCTGTTTTTTCTCTTTAAATTCAATATTCTATGCCCTTATTCAGTGCTCGGTTTGTCTTTGTTTTGGTATTTCAGTGGGCAAATGTAATGAATGTATTTAATCTCATCACTGGGCCTATCAAAATATTTTATATGTGCATTCCACTTCAGTTTGTGTTTGTTTTCTCTATGTTCTGGAGAACTAGTATGTATTGATAGCTGACAGCCAGAAGGAAGAAACAGAGAGAGGAAGGAAAAAAGAGTATGGAATTAGGCAACATTGGATTTCTTCTTTAACAAGTCCAGATGTTTTAGAATTTTCACATTTACGAGGAGATTGAATTCATGCTCAGAACCACATGTGAATGAACATCCCTTCTGTCAGCGCCCATTGGCTGATACTACTGTGTGCCAATGGTGGCACTAGATGTGAGATCAGCCCTGTGGGGGAAGAGATGATTACAACACAGTATGATAAATAAAAGTGAACGTTAGGCACAGCATTTTATATTTGTATGTGTATGTTCGGAGGAAGAATACAGGGAGGGCAGAAGTCAACCTTGCATTGAGAGCACCTTTTTTTTTTTGACACATTTTCTCACTGAACCTGGAGCTCATTGTGCAGCTAGACTGGCTAGCCAGTGAGCTCCAGGGATCCACTGTGTGTTCCACCACACCTGGCTTTTATGTGAGTGCTGGGGATCTGAACTCAGGTCTTCATGCTTATATGATAAGCACTTTACCAAGTGAGCCATCTCACCAGCCTATGCACAACATTTCATGAAGTACAGAGACAGTTTGTCATTCTGCCTGAGTAACAGGCAGGTGTGGTTAACACAGGTGGCCCTCAGACAGCGGCTGTAGGAGGCGTAGGTACTAAGCAGAGAATAGGAAGACAAAGGAGACCTGGGAAGTCCTTTCCTCTGCAGAGAACAGAGAAACTTCTACTAGCTGGAATTAAGTGTACCACAGAATCTCTCAGAGAAGTTATTCTCATAAGTGAAGATCCCCAGACCTACCCTAAACACTGTAGTTCAGGAGGTTCCCGTGGTAAGCACCTCAGGCAGTTCTGTAACAGCTGATCCAGAGGCTCTTTTCAGAAATACTCACTGCCCCCAAACTAATGCCTGGCTTTTCTGAAGTCTAATTCTGGAGATGGTTTGTTACACTGAAAAGAACTTCAGTTTTATAGAAAGACGTAACTGGGTTTGAAGGGCTGGGGATGTGGCTCAATAAGGTGCATGCTTGTGGATTCTGATTCTCAGTATCACGTGGACTGGGCTTGGTGGTGCATCCTGTAATCCCAACACTTGAAAAGGAGGAGGCAGAAGAATCAGAAGTTCAAAATCATCCTTAGTTACATAGCAAAGTCAAGGCCGGCCTGGGCTATATGAGACCCTGTATCTCTAAAAACAAAACAAAACAAAACAAAACAAAAAACTGGGTTTGAATCCTGGCTCTGCTTCTGAACAGTAAACTTAAATAGCTCTAGGCCTGGGCAAGTCCCTGGCGACACCCAGTTTTGACCCAAGGCCGGCCTGGGCTATATGAGACCCTGTATCTCTAAAAACAAAACAAAACAAAACAAAACAAAACAAAAAACTGGGTTTGAATCCTGGCTCTGCTTCTGAACAGTAAACTTAAATAGCTCTAGGCCTGGGCAAGTCCCTGGCGACACCCAGTTTTGACCTCTGCAAAGTGAAGCCAGTCACATCTACCTTTTTTGCAAGATTGCTATGAATTATAGAGGACCCAGTTCCTAGCCCAGTGTCTGGCACATAGGTCATTAAATGACAGCATCATTACCCTTCTGGTCCAGAGGATGTAGCATTCATAATGATCATTATGTGTACTAACCTCTCTGTGCTTCTTTTCCCCCATCTGTTAAATGAGATGGTAATAGCACCTGTCTCATGCATTTTCAACACAGCACTTAAAGAAATGCCCTACACATGGCAATTCCTTAATAACTACACAATGATGGTGATGATGACAGTTGTGATGTCATTCCCATAGGCTGGCCAGTTTCATACAAATACCTCCTACTACCTGTCAGACTGACTAGAATTAGATAATGGGATATGGGTTAGGACCCTAGTCCCGCTGAGATTAGTTCTAGCCTTGAGCAACTACTGCACTTTTGTGGGACCTCATTTTCTCCTATTCCTTTGCTCATCTGTTCATTCCAAACGCTTCTGTACATATCCTATGGAAGGCCAAACCCTGGGAGGGCAGACAGGAGGCACCAGCTCAGTGTAGAATTGTTCCTGGTGAAATAGAGTGTGCCTGCCAGAGCTGTGAAGAGCAGGCATTTGCTGCACAGTTGGAGGGGAGGACCAGGTTTCCCTGGGGGATCTTGATTCATGTCAGAAAGAAACCCTGCTGAGTGGAAGAAAACAGTGAACATAGGTGAGACTAGGGAGAGGGGCTGTTCCTTAAACTAGTCTTACAACTCTCCATCTCCCCTGCAAATTTGAGATTACTGCCAAATAAAAAGTAAAAAAAACTAGAAAATTAAGCCCTGGTCTTTAAGACCCTTCTGTGCAAATCCATGTAAGTGGTAATAGATAATTTTATGTAATTTGTCACTCCCATAATTCAGATCATTGGATTTGGAGGGCAATAAGGCATAGGGTCAAGCCTCAGTTATTTGCTACTTAGTTTCTTGCCCAAATTACCTGCAGCTTTCATTTTCTTGATCTGTAAAATAGGGATAATAATCTTCCTCACAGAACTGTGGAAGATTCTATGTGTTACTTCTATAATTCATATTACATACATATGAAATTGTTTTGCTATTCAAGTGTTGGTAGTTGCCCACATTAGCTGAGCTCTCATTCTGGGGTAACTTACATCAACTCACAAATTCCCCACTGTTCTCTTACAGCCTGAAAGAATTTCAGGAGAGCAGTATGGAATCCATTCTGACGTCTGGAGCTTGGGAATCTCTTTCATGGAGGTATGTTGCTGTTTGGTGTCAATGACACTTCTTTACTAATAGTTCCACCCAGGAGAATACAAGCTTTGAAAATAATATAAACCATTGTGTTATTCATGTGTGTATAGTTCGACTTCGAAGTCCTTCCGTTGATATCCCATGAGACTTATGGACTGAGTTACCCCAAAGCACTGCTTCTCGCAGATCACCTCTGTAAGACATACCTGACATGCTTGTTAAAAATGCAGGTTTCTAGCCCCACCCAAGACCAATTCAATCCAGATCTCTAAAAATGTGCATGCAGAAGCTGTTCCCTGGGTAAGCCTTCTGCACACTGTGTCTAGAGAACTGCTTTCTGTAATGGGATTCATAAAAATGCAGGGTGATGTAGCCTTTTTGGAATGTGTATGTGTGACATCCAAGGGATATTACTTTCAAAGGTCAGCTATGCTCATTTGGGTAAAAAAGTTTTCTATGTTTTTTTAAAAAAGAGAAAATATACTTCATTCTAATATCATATCACACATGCATGTGGGGTGGAGGTGATCTAATAGGAGGGGGGATGTGTGTATAGTATAATTTCATATATTTATTTTTATTGCTGTATTTAGAATGGAATTTTTTCTTAGTGAGCCTGTGCAGCCTCACTAGAATGCTATGCTAAGGAATGGACATATGACTTATATTAGAAAGACACCTGCTCAGCTGGAATTAGACTCCTAGAGAGCATAGGTATTCGCCAAGTCCTCAATAACTGCTTCTCAACTCATCAGTTCAGATAAAGGAAGGCTTTTTACAAAGTAGAAACATGTTTAAATAACATCATAGAGTTCCAATCACAATTGTATCACTTTATTTTGGTCAAATACATTTACTCTAATTTTTGTAACGCACGACTACCATTATACTTGGAAGGAAATGTCTTCAGACTCAATTCACCTGCACAGTAGGAAGACAGCCCAAATAAAATGTTCAATGTTTATTAAACCATATTTTTCAGCTTCTACCAAAAGGAAATCTAAGAACTATAGTCTGTACATCAACTGAGAGGCTGGAACTAGGGTGCAGATCTTAGGACCAAGGCCCCGGCAGGACCCTGAAGGGCTCGTTCTGTTAGCCCATTTCAAAGGGAAACTAGTGCTTCTGGTCTGTAAGACTCAGGCTTTACTATCATATAATTTCCCTTTGGACATTTTATTTTCCTTTGCATATTTTAAATCATTATCATTGGTGGTATTTTATAAATGATCAGATATGGTGCAGAACAATTGAGAAGTCACACAGTGCAGAATCACAATCCCAGGTTAGGGTCAGAGGACCTAGATTATAGTTCCAGCTTTGCTACAAGTTTTCTAGGTGGTCTAGGCAAGCCCTCAATTCCCCAAGGAGCTCAGTTCCTTCATCTCTATAATAATGGTCTCTGAGCCCCTCTCCAGACTATCATTTTACAGCTCTGTTGTTATTCATACTGCTGTTGGCTGTCCTTAACTTTCATCAGTAGCAGTAGTTGTGTGCCTGGGACAGGGGTGTATCCAAGCCTGTTGGAGGCATAGACATACTGTTAAGCAGGCTGGGGAGACAGATCAGTTGATAGAGTAATTGCCTGGTATGCATGAAGCCCTGATTCAGTCTCCAGGATAAAACTAGGATGTAATCCAGAAGTGGAAGCAGGAGGACCAGAAGTTCAAGGTCATTCATAGCTATATAGTGAGTAGGAAGCTACCCTGGGCTACATGAAACCATCTCAGATAATAAATAAGTAAGCAAGTAAGTAAATAAATAAATAAATAAATAAATAAATACTGTTGTATAGCCAGTGGGTTTCAGATTTAGAACACATGTGGCCACTATTTGTCCCTTCCCTGTTGATTTATGCATTCTCACATTGAGGGCTATGCTTACTTGCATGGACAGTAGCGACAGAGTAATGAAATGGTACTCATGTCTTGGCTCTCCTGGAATAGGTTTGGTGAGGGATAGGGCATGAGGGCAAGAACAGAAAACAAAGTGATGAATATGTAGTTTGTCACATGGTGATAAGTTCAGTGGAGGCAAAGATAGTGGGCAGTGCTTTGATAAAGTACCACTGGAAATGCAGAGATGTACGTGCTGAGGAGGGCAGTGCCTTCTGACAGTGAGTACCAAGGACGGCACGGTCATGGAGTGTCCACAGTGTGTGAAAGGAAGACAGCCTCACCTGACTGGAGTGCAATTAACAAGGAAAACACATTCAGGGAGGTAGCTGGGGACCAGACCACATTCAGTCTTATAGGCCAGGTGCAGGACTTCAGACATTGCTCTGGTTTCAGTTTTCAAAGGGTCATAGAGGCTCTGTGGAGCATGACTGTAGAGGGGCAGCATGGAAACAAGAGGGTCAGGTAGGACCATTGATAGATGCCCAATAAATGTAACATTTTTATATATATTTCATATTACATTTTGTGTCCTCCAGTATTTTGCTAGGTACTAGGAATGCAAAGCCTAATAAAAAGATTCTGCTACAGGGAGAGATTACCTGTGTGTTCATTTATCCTGGAGGCATTTAATATAATTATTAAATAGTTTATGGAACACTGAAGAAAACAGACTCATTGGATTTGTAAGATTGAGAATGAAGTATATGGAGCTGTGTGAGAAATGTCAGCTTTGAATATAGGACAACTGAGTGTCAGAAGGACTGTGGTAAAGTACAGAGCAGGACATGACCATGTTGCTGGAAATAAGGGCCAGAAAGGGCCTGGGCGCACCTGTGTTAATAAGAGGGCAGTAAGGAGTGAGTGGTGAGACAGGAGAGATGTGAGGTGTAAGGCGGAGTCTGCTTAGCGTTGTTGAGGTTTGTTGAGTACCTCTTTGTATGGGATGCTTAACTAAGTGCCTTCAAAAAGAATATGGGATGGTGCTAGACACTTATGACCCACCAGGCAGGCAAGTGACAATGTATGACCAACCTAAGTGGTAGAACATATGTCACTAGAGAATAGAGTGAGGACCCTGGCGTGTGTTTTATGCCAAATTTATTTGGGGTCAGCATTAGTTACATTTCTGTTGCTGTGATAAAACACCATGACCAAGGCACTTAAAAGAAGAGTTTATCTGGGCTTCCAGAGGGATGAGAGTCCATCATGGTGGGGAAACATGGCAGGAAGCAGCTGGAGCAGAAAGCTCACATCTTCAAGCAAGCACAGAAGCAGAGAAACTGGAAGTGGGGAAAGCTATGAACTCTCAAGGCCCGCCCCAGTGATGTGCTTCCTCCAGCATGGCCACACCTCCTACAAGTTCCCATGACAACCCCTCCCCAAACAGTACTACTTGAGTCTGTGAGGGAACACTTCTCATCCAAACCACCATAGGGTCCAAGGAAAGGAAAACTGATAGAGAAAGGGAGAAGGGCTTCAGGCATGACAGTTGAGAGAAAACCTCAAGCTCCTTTGCGTCTCAGGGTCAGTGAGAAAGACATTATCCAAAGGGACTATGAAGTTAGTCCAGAAGACCTTGGAGGCCAGGTTCCTCTTTCTTTTTAAAAACCACAATATACTTAGTATAAGCATAATATAAACTATTTTAAATCACTATGGGCATTCTGGGTGTGGTAGCACATATCTGTAATCCCAGCATTCAAGACTGAGAGGCAGGAAGATAAAGAGGTCAAGACCAGCCTGGGCTACATTAAAAAAAAAATCAGGGCTAAGGAGTTAGCTCAGTCATTAAAGTGCTTTATATATGGGCTCGAAGACCTGAGTTCAGTCTCTACTACCCACATGAAAAGACAGGCATGGTGGAGCAGGCTTGTAATCCCAGTGCTGGGGAGGTGAAGACATGTGGATTGCTGGGGTTTCCTGGCCAGCCAACCTAGCATAATCATGAAGCTATCTCATAAAACTCTGGAAGGATGACACCCAAGGTTGACCTCTGTCCTCCACACCCACACATTCACATATGTACACATACTTATACACACATAAACATTCACACAAACCTTCACATGCACACACGCAAAAAATCACTGTACACGGAAGTGTGAATTGCAGTGAAACTTTGCAACCCAAGGAACAGATTGCATCCTGAAACAGTCAACACTCAAAGAATAGCTTTAACATTTTGAAAGAATAGCTTTTCTTCTGTTCTCACTTTTCAAACAAGGCTCTAGGTGTGGGTTCATTCATCAGTTTTTTCCTGACATAGATGTCATAGGTAGGCTCTGGGAGACATAGCTGGGAAGACCCTGCTTCTGGTAGAGAAGAAAGGCACTGGAGCCCTGAAGCTGCAGGCCTTCAGCAGAGTTGTTTGTGAGGGACTCACGGGGTCGGGGGAGAGGGGCCATTAGCAAAGGGTTGGTCTTGAAGGGATCTTGCCACTGGAAGAGAGACTAGATGGAGATCCTTCCACTCTGAAGTGGACTGCTGAAACCCTAAGGAACAAACAGATGGCAAAGTAGGCAGATGTCACCTACAGCTGCACTGCCTGCATGCATACCTTTCTCAGTGCTTTGAGCCAACCAGTTTATTCCTGAGGGAAATCTATGGTAAAGAGAAAAGATGATTGGAAGGATCAGAAGCTGAGCAAGCATCAAGAGAGACAAAATGGGCAACAGCTTTTTGTGTCATCTCCAGTCACCCAGAACCCACCTCCCATGCAGTAAAAACCTCCTCTCTGAGGTTTGTGATGCAAGGGTCAGAAATCTGCCTAAATACTGAGGTCCATCTTTGCCTGCTCCTTCCTTTGCCCATTCCCTTTTAATGTGCTGTCACCATCCCCATTGGGAGCCATAACAGGACTCCTCACCAGACTCTTTCAGAAGAGATGGTGCTTCATGCCACTAAAATGCTGATGAAAAGAATCACAGACAGGTACATTGGTGTCTTGAGTAAAAAATCTTTAGTATCAGACTTTCTTTTACCCAGGGACTGAATGACTCCTGTCCATTCTCAGCTCAGCAGCCTTCTGCCCTGGGATAAAGTGGGTGTCCTTCAGGGTGTTGTCAGCTGTGTAAAGTATTGGAGTTGGCAAAAGTAGCACAAAGA